ATAGGGAGTCCTTTCCCCATTGCTTATTTTTGTCAACTTTGTTGAAGATCAGATGACTGTAGGTGTGTGGCTTTATTTCTGGGTTCTCTATTCTGTTTCATTGGTCTGTCTGTGTGTCTGTTTTTGTACCAGTACTATGCTGTTTTGGTTACTATAACCTTAAAGTATAGTTTGAAGTCAAGTAATGTGATACCTCTGGCTTTGTGCTTTTTGCTTAAGATTGCTTTGGCTATTCAGGCTCTTTTTTGGTTCCATGTGAATTTTAGAATAGTTTTTTCTAATTCTGTGAAAAACGATGTTAGTAGTTTGATAGGAATAGCATTGAATCTGTGGGTTGTATTGGGCTGAATGGTCATTTTAATGATACTGATTCTTCCAATCCGTGAGCATGGAATAAATGGAAAAACATTGTTGCTGTTTGTTGTTTTCATTGCTGTTTGTTTAGTGATTTTCCTAGACTAATTCTGTTAAATCTATATCCTTTTTCAGGTGTAGGCACTGTAGTCTGTGCTTGGTTAGCTTAGTCATCACCTAAGGATTAGATAGACATTTCTTTAAATGCCTTGAACCAGTAAGCCTGCCAGTCTTTGTCAAAGGGGTCTGTGTGTTTGGGTTGCCTTCAGGTGCTCTGGAAATTTACAACTCTGCCTTAGCTTTCACTTCTTGCTTGTTCAGAGCCTCAAGGTCAGCCAGGGATGTTAGAGTAGGGCCTTCTTGGGTCCTTCTTTGACATGTGCACATCCTTATACATGTGCATAATTTATAAATTCCCAGAAATATTTTGTTGCTGTTCAAATTCTGCTATTAATGTCTAATTTTTGTTTTTTACTTTTATTTTTTTCTGGTCAGCTTCTTGTTTGCCTCACCTAGTATTACTGCCTCAAGCAACTGTGATGTTAAATCATTGCTGTTGATTATTTTTGACAAACACCCTCAGGATAGGGTTGAATATGGCCAAATTCATGTAAGCCCTTAAAAGGCAGCTTTTCCAGGGAACTTAAGGACAGATTAAATTGTGATAAGTCTTTGAGGATAGGGCATTTGGGGGAGTTCCAAACTTGTTTTGTGACTTTCAGTGGCTGCGAAGTTACTGTTTTTTACAACTACCATAGTCGCAAGGCTGCCGTTGACTTAAGGAAAATATCACAAGTTAAAGTGGCTCAAAGCGCACTGTTCTTTGAGATTCAGTTATTTGTCTTGAATAAATGTTTCTTGGATTGTTCTAATCCCTTGGTTAATTTTCACAGTTCTAAAAAAGTTGATTTTGAAATTTTGTAGTGTTCTCAGTGCTTTTATGAAAAAGTATATTTTCAGAGGTCTTATTCAGCTATTGCAGAAGTGTTTCTTCTGTAACATTCTTACACTTTCCCCTCCTTCTTGAGGAAGGTTAAATTGTGGGGAAAGGTTCCTAAATGATTCAGATTTCTGAACATAACTTATAAGGGCATTAACTATAAGAAATAGATGTGTGTTTTAATAATTTAATTTTATAATAGCAGTGTGAGTGCATACAGCTCATAGTTCATTAATTAATTTGATTAAGAAGTTCAGTATTCTGGTTTTTAAAAATAAATATCCTTGAAAATGTATGCTTCCAATAATTTCATTTGTAGACAGTAGTATACAAAGCAAAAGTGACCATTTTACTTAATAAAGTCATCAAAGCTAAGTCAATAAA